AGCCTGCTTCTCCCTCTGCCTCTCTCTCTCTGTCTCTGTCTCTCATGAATAAATAAATAAAATCTTTAAAAATAAATAAATAAAATTTATTAAAAAAAAAACAAAAACAAAAGAAATACAAAAAGGACCAACCATAAAGAAAAAAAATAATTGATAACTTTGTGTTAAAGTTAGGATTTCTATTCATAAAAGTACCTTAAAGGAAATGATATCACAGTCTAAACAGTAGAAAAATATCAATGAAAGATCCATATCCAGATTATATAAAGAACTATGAATCAACAAGAGATAATCCAGGGGCAATAAGGTAGAAGATTTGAACAGGCAGGTCACAAAAGAAGAAACCCTAATAACCAATAAATATATGAAATTGTGTTCAATCTCATTATTAATCATGAAGTCCAATTTCAAACCTGTGTGTGTGTGTGTGTTTGTATAAATAAATATTTAAAGATTTCAAAGTCTGACACAACTGACTTGAAAAAAAGGAGAGAACATAACTCATTCATACAAAGAAATATGTATCTTTTTTTAATTTTTATTTATTTGAGAGAGAGAGAGAATGAAAGAGAGAGAGAGCATGAGAGAGGGGAGGGGCAGAGGGAGAAGCTGACTCCCCGCTGAGCAGAAAGCCCGATGTGGGACTCGATCCTGGGACTCCAGGATCATGACCTGAGCTGAAGGCAGTCGCTTAACCAACTAAGCCAGCCAGGCACCCCAAGAAATATGTATCTTTGAAAAATGGTATCTACAAAGACCATTTGACAACACAGGAGAACAATACTTTTTAGTGAAAATGTAGGACATAATATGATAAATGAGGTATAATTTGATTTTGGAAAAATATTAAAAATTAATCAAGGGGCGCCTCGTGGCTCAGTGGGTTAAGTGTGTGCCTTCGGCTCAGGTCATAATCCTATGGTCCTGGGATCAAGCCCTGCATTGGGCTCCCTGCTCAGCAGGGGAGCCTGCTTCTCCCTCTCCCTCTGTCCCTGCTTTGTGTGCTCTCTCTCTCTCACTCTTTCTCTCAAATAATCTTTAAAAAAAATTAATCAAAATATTAACATTAGTTATTTTTGAGTGATCACATTTTATTTTTTCTTGGTAATTCTGTTTCTGAAATCTCTAAAATAATCGTGATTTTTATTTTATTTTATTTATTTTATTTAGTGTTGTGTTATGTGTTGTGTTATGTGTTGTGCATGTTATGTGTTGTGTATGTTATGATGTGTTATGATATGTTATGTTATGTTATGTTATGTTACACAGACTCCATGCCCAGCACGGAGCCCAATGTGGGGCTTGAACTCAAGACCCTGAGATCAAGACCTGAGCCCAGATCAAGAGTCAGTCCCTTAACTGACTGGGCCACTCAGGCGCCCCATGTTTTTATTTTAAAATCCTAACAATTGCATTTAAATCCTAATATTGCATTTAAAAGAAGAAAACTCAACAAACAGAAGTGGAGCCATTTTCCAAATAAGTGAACAATAGGTATATGGGTCCTGTTGGGCTTTAAAACCAGCCAGGCAGGACTACCCTTCCCTCTAATAGGGAAATTATAAGGACCTACAATTAAATGGCATATCTTTATTAAGCATTTAACTTTCAGAAGAAAGAAAGCAAAGAGAAAACCCCAACACACCTTGGACATTGCTTGTAGAAGTTCATTGTGCATTCTTTCCTTCTCTTCTGCACCTGGAGAAAGGCGGAAATGGGGAGAGGAAAAAGTAATTGCAAAACACCATGTTTTCCTTTCCCCCCCAAACTGGTCTGGTCAGAAGTCACCTCCAGTCCCAATCCCAGTCCCAGCCCCCACCACACCAGGGAATGGAGATCAGAGAATGGGGCATCCTGCCTAATCCGTGTGTCAGGAAAAAGCTGAAGCCACTGCTGTCAAGGGACTATAATCTGACCAAATTTCACAGAGATTTCCTGGGGACAAAGTTCTGGAGTTACAATCTTACATATGACAGGAACCCCATACCCAGACACATAGTGCCCCATACCTTGAGCACGGTCATACTGAAACCAATGCGACAAGCACTCCACACGGGCACACATAGAACCACACAGTTACAATCACATACCCACCACCGAACACATACAGTTAGTTACTCTCGTATAGTCGCAGGTACCCCCCCAGTGTCGCGGGGTCACAACAGCCATAGGGACACACGCAGTCACAACCCCACAATGATAGGCAACCGATATCCGCACACAGGTCTCAATGTCACAGTCTCTCTCACACACAATCTCACAACCTCCCCTTTACAAGCCGCTCCGCCCGCACCGGCCGCATGACCCAGCTCGATACCTATCTCCGGGCTCCCCGATTTACACCTTTCGGGTCTCCCGGCATCGCAACGTGCACAACTGAGCCGGTTCCCCCTGGACCGACGGACTCTCACCTCACGGATCTAACGGTCCCGCCAGGCGTGACGAAACGTTCGCGTTCCTGCGAGAAGAGCGACGGGCCACCGAGCCCTCTGGGAAATGTGGTCCAGAGAGGCACCCGCGTAATTCCTCTCAGAGTCCTGGCTGGACCCTCCCGAAACGACTGTAACTGCAATTCTCAGCGTCTAGTCAGGCCCCAGGGTTGCGAGGCACGGTAGGTTGGCACCTACCAGCCGGGCCTTCGGCGCGGGACTGACGCAGCCCCTTCCCCACACAGGAAACGCAGACAGCTTTCTGGCCGGAAGTTGAATCGGGCCGCGAAGCCTTCTGGGCGGTGTTGTTGTGCTCAGGAACGTCCGTTGGGAAGCGGGCGCGAAAGGATGGTTCGGTGTTACCGGCCCCTGGCCTGGGTCTTTCTGTAGGTCGCCTTCACCCATCCTCCCAGAAACCGCGCGCTGAATGCGCATTCGGGCGTTTCCGGCAGGTGACGCTACCGCGTCCCAGCAGCGGGGTATGGGGGAGGGGCTTGAGCTGTGTGGGCTGCACGGTCGCGCGGCTGATGGGGCGGAGCCTCTGAGGAGGCCCGGAGAGTCTGGAGTGGCCGCGGTGTAAAATGGTTAGGGTGGGAATAAGCTGCTGGAGAGTGGTTAGAATTGTTGGACCAAAAAACTGGGGTGGGAGTCAGTGTGTGTGTGACAGTAGTGATGTGCGTGATTGCGTGTGAGGGTGATAGACTAATTGTGATGGGCTGTGTGATTGTGGTGTGTTGTGTTACGGTGATGTCTGGTTGCGTGTGGTTGTATGGTGTTTGTGTGGTTGTGAAAGTTCTGTGGTTAGGTATTTGTAATATGTGTAGTGGTTCTTGTCTTGAGTTGACTTCTGTATAGTGTTTGTCATACTTGATAACTGCTTGGAAAAAAAATCTGTATAAAATTTTGCTTTTTTGTTTTAAGCAGTCCTCCCTGCCCTTTGGCCACTCCTTAGTCTCCTTTGCTTCCTTTTTTTACCCCTAGAAGTTCTTGGTTCTCTTCTGTTGCTTTCCAGTTTTCCTGTCGATCTTTTCCGGATTCATTATCTCAACATCATATGGCACACATCTTTTATCATATGTATTACTTAGCTATTGCCAGGATAGTAATGCTGCCTAACAAACCACCCCTAAGTCAGTGGCATATAACAGCAAGCATTTATTCTCATGTTCACCTGTTCCCTGGTTCTCTGTTCAGCTTATTTAGGCTGGGGTTGACTGAGTAGCTAGCCTGCAGGATGGATTTAGATCTGCTCCTCCACAGGTGTTCTTTCTGCTGCTCAGGCTAAGACAGTGGTTACCAGGACCTGTTCTCATCATGGATCACCAGAGCACAAGACAGACCATACAAACACCTTAAAAACCTCTGCTCCTCAGTATACTAATAATACATTACCCAACGCAAGCCACATGGCTAAGCTTAATGTTAATTACACCCAAGTGGGAGGACAAGGCAAAGTTAATGGCAAAGAGTGTGACTAATAGTTTAGAGGGGAGTGAAGAATTGGGACCAAGATTTCAATCTACCACATTAGGAAACATGCCTCTTTATCCTGGTGAACACCTTTTGGTCCAAGTTCTCTTTTGTCTGATAATATTCCTTTTCAGGGTTTGTTATTGTTTTATCCAGGAATTTCATTTTCCAACCCCTTCTTTTTATGTTTTTATGCTTCAGGTCTCTTGTAAAGAGTATATTGCTGGGCTTTTTACCCTTTTATCCTGTTTGAATGTTATTTTAATAGGTGAGTTTAATTCATTTACATTTATTGGGATTGCTGATATAAATTTGTTTTCTATTTACTATGGCTTTTTTATTGTGCAGATTTAGCTTATTCCCCTTTCTCCACTGCTTTGGTTTCTGTTCTTTTCCTTGAATTTTTAACATGCATACTTAATAAAACCCCAACACTTGAACTCCAAACTACCCACCTATTTCTATGTTATTCTCGTCTAATATATTAATTTCTTCTGATTTTAAATTCCCCAAATTAGTAGAATTCATTTAAGTGTATATATATATATGTATATATATGCATCTTTTGTACATACATAAATGTGTATGTCTTTTTATACATGTGTATATATGTTATATGTATATATACTTTTTAATTGTGATAAAATAGAGATAATGTACAACATAAAATTTACCATCTTAATATCTGCACCCCCATTTTCATTGCAGCATTATTTACAATAGCCAAAATAGGGAAACATTCATCAACAGATGAATGGATAAAGAAAATGTGGTATTATATGTACAATGGAATATTATTCAAAGAAGGAAAGCCTGCCATTTGTGACAACATGGGTGAACCTGAAGAACATTATGCTATGTGAAATAAGCTAGTCACAGAACAAATACTACATGATTCAATTTGTATGATGTATATAAAATAGATTCAAGAAGCACAAGAATAGAATAATGATTGCCGGAGCCTGGGAGTCGAGGGAAATGGGAAATTGTTTTTCCATGGGTACAAAGTTTATGTTATGCAAGATGAGTAAGTTCTAGGATCTATACAACACAGAACCTATATTAATAATACAGTATTATGCACTTTGTTAAGAGTATAGATCTTGTGTTAATTGTTCTTACCAAAGAAATAAAACACAAAAGAACACAAGGAAATTTTGGGGGGTGATGGATATGTTTAGTACCTTGGTTATGGAATTGGTATCATGAATATATGAGTATGCCCAAACTCATCAGGATGTATACATTAAATGTGTGCAATTTTTTGGTACATTTATTATACCTTGATAAAGCTAAAAGCACAAAAACATTTAACATATTAATTATTTTTAAGTGTGGAGTTCAGTGGCATTATATTCATATTGCTATATAACTGTCACTACCATCTAGCCATAGAACTCTTTTCATCTTGCAAAACAGAAACTTTGTACCCATTAAACAGTAACTCCCCATTCCTTGGATCTCCCAGTCCCAGCAGCTTCCATTCTACTTTATGTCTATATGAATTTGACTACTCTACATACCTCATATAAGTTGGATCACACAGTATTTGTGGGTTTTTTGTGACTGGTTTATTTAACTTAGCATAAGGTCTTCAAGGTTCATTCATGTTAAAGCACATGTCAGAATTTCCTTCCTTTTTAAGGCTAAATAGTATTTCATTGTATGTATACGCCACATTTTGTTTATCCATTTATCTGTCAATGTACACTGGGTTGCTTCTACCTTTTGACTATTGCAGATAATGCTGCTATAAATATGGGCATACAGATATTTGTTCAAGTCCCTGCTTTCAGTTCTTTTGGGTATGTACCCAGAAGTGGAATTTTTGGATCATATGGTAATTCTGTTTTTCATTTTTTGACTGCCATACTGTTTTCCATAGTGGCTATATCATTTTAATCAACATATTTTTTTGAGCACCTACCATCAATGGCAAAGAGAGATTTAAAAAATACCTGTTTTCATGATGTTTATATGAGGGGGTACACAGACAATATGTATGGTAAATAAATTATATAGTTTGTTAGTGATAATTACCATAGAGGAAAAAAACAGAAATTCTGTGAGGGATATTAGGAATATCTCAAAATTTATTACAATTGAATATTTCTGTTTTATTCTGTTCTATCATACAGTGAAAGTATTAGTCTATTCTCTTGGATATTATTTTTTTTACTCTTTACCTAGTAAAGCCTCAAAGCAGATGATAAGTTAATATTTCTTAACTTAGCCATTTTATTCATCCAGTATCATTGTGATGGGAGTATAATTCTCACTTCAGATGAAGAGTATGAGAATTCTAAATTGCAAATGTGTTTTACCTCAATTGCCGAGATAGATAGGAAATGGAATAGCTGCAACTCTTACTCCAAACCCTGGGGTTGCTGCAAGTCTGAATCTTTTTTGACTCAACTTTGTATCTGCTGCAAATCTGAATCTTTTTTGACTCAGCTTTGTATCTGTTGATTCAACTTTGCACTGGGTTTACACCTTTATGCTCACAGAAGATATCTGAAGAGCAGATATTATGTGATCACTGTTGTGATCACCTTGTTTTTAGAGTCTTGGTGTTTTCTCCAGTGGTTGGTTCAACCTAGGTTGCTGAGTGTTTGAATTTTCCACCAGGTTCTTTCTGTCTTTGCATCCAGCATCTCTGGTCAGTAACCCCAGGGAATGTGAATTACAAGCAAGGAAGCTAATTGTTTGGGGCTGTATTAGTTATCTACTATTGTGTAACAAATTACCTCAAAATTCGGTAGTTTAAACAACAATAAACATTTATTATCTCACACTCTGTGGGGGGCGGGAAACAACTTAGCTGGATACTCTGGCCCACATATTTCATGAAGTTGCAGTCAAGATGTTGACAAAGCTGCAGTCATTGGAAGGCTAGACGGGCTGGAGGATTTGCTTCCTACATCGCTGGCAAGTTAGTGTTGGCTGCTGGCAGGAGCCCTTCTCTAGCACTGGTTGAAGTCTTCATGGCATGGTGGCTGACTTCCTTCAAAGTGCTAGATTCAAAAATGTGTAATGTGCAATACAGAAACCACAATGTCTTTTATGACCTAACTTTGGAAGTCACACACTGTCAGTTTTTGCAATATCCTATTGGTTAAACAGGACAACTCTATTCAGTGTGGGAGGGGTGTACAAAAACCATGAATACCATAAGGCAGTGATCATTGGAACTCATCTTGGAAGCTGGTTACCATAGGGATCTAGTGAGAAAACATCAAGTAAATTGAATTTATATCATAAGCCCACAGGTCCTGCCTCCACAAAGATAAGACAAATCTGTGATGTGAGTAAAAGGAAGCCTGGAGAGCAGGTATCCATCATGGAAGGAGACCTTCTGATCTTAGAATTCTCCTGGAGGCTGGAGAGGCCTGAGACAGAGTGGACCCTGGAATTGCTGGATCTACAGCTTATCTTAACCCTTCTGCCCTGAGTGGACAAGCCCTGAATGACATCTCAGCCTTCAGAGATCAGCAGTCGCTGGGTGACAACGGAGCATTTAACCCAGATGATGGAAAGGAGAGGTGAGGTGGCTCAGAGATGGGCAGAGTTTAGGAGAGAGAAGCTGTACGTTTAGGGGCAGAGAGAGTAAAAAGAGTTAGGAAATTTAGTACTCCTACCAAAGAAAGTTCACACGGGTGTTATTGACTGCAGGGTAGACATTTGTTTTTTATTTATTCACTTGACTATTATTTGATTTTTTTTAAATAACTATTTTAAATGTAATTTCTGTTTTTCTTACATTTAGATTTTTTTTAAAGGGCTGTTAAATACATAACCATAAACAAAATTTCCTACTCTATCCTTTCTCATCCCCTGATCCCACTCCCCAGAGGCAACCATTTTGGTATTCAGCTTCACTTTCCTGAATAATATCCTCATACTGCTCATGCTTAATTTCTCAGTTTTAGATATTTCCTGTTGACTTTTGACAATGGAGATAAGGATTTATCTCTGTTTTCTACCTAACCTCTTATCTTGTCTCCCTCACCCTACCCCTTCCCAACCCCTCCCCAACCCCTCTAATATGGTGTTTTATTAGAGGTTGAAAGTTGACTACATGTCAGGATCTGTATCTATTTTTGGGGGGGCTAGTAAGTCTCCTAGATTTTGCTTGAGGAATATAAGCCAGAACTGCTTTGGAAGGCAAACACAGTAGGAAGTTGGGGGTTGGGAGGACACACCTCATCTTTCAATATTACAACTTTCACTTAATTCCCTTATTGCTCCAACCCCTTACATTCAGCTCCTATCCCACACTCCTGCCTGCAGAAGTACCTAGTGCCTTCATTCCTAAGCCTTTCAAGGGTTCTGCTGTAGTTTCCCCACCCTTTCCCCACCCTCTCTTAAGCTTCCACTTTCTCTAGTTAAATTAGGTAACAGTCATCTGTTTAATCTCTAGATTCCAAAATTTTGTTGACATCTCTTATCTGCTGACGTCTTCCATATTCTCTATGATACTCAATTTCCTTTGTTCCTTTGCTTTCATTTTGGTTGGGTTTGGGAGAGAACCGAAGTAAATGCAAATATTCATTCTTACATTTTTGACCTGAAGGCCACGAATTTTTTAGATTAAAAAATTAAGTTGCTTGAAAATGTCATTAGAATCATGACTGCATTTTTTTCTCCTTTTTTTTGTTCTATGATTTTTAAAAATTTTTTATTGTTATGTTAATCACCATACATTACGTCATTAGTTTTTGATGTAGTGTTCCATGATTCATTGTTTGCGTATAACACCCAGTGCTCCATGCAGAACGTGCCCTCTTTAATACCCATCACCAGTCTAACCCATCCTCCTCCGCCCCCTAGAACCCTCAGTTTGTTTTTCAGAGTCCATCGTCTTTCATGGTTCGTCTCCCCCTCTGATTTCCCCCCCTTCATTCTTCCCCTCCTGCTATCTTCTTTTTTTTTTTAACATATATTGTATTATTTGTTTCAGAGGTACAGATCTGTGATTC